CAAAATTATTTGAAGATATTTATCAGATTGGCATGAGATTTAATTTATATCATGATAAATATTCATAATATTTTTCAATTAATTGCAAAGATTTAATTGGAATCTTAATTTTGAATTTCAAAGTGTTCATTGAAAAATCATTAATGTTTCGAATGGATTTATAGATTTTTAAACCACGTACATTTTTGCAATAGTCAAATAGAATTAAAACATTAATTGCCAGAAAATCAGAAACAATTATTTCTATTAAACATTCTTTCAATAATACATCAACATGTTGCTTATTGTAAATAGCTGTTTTTTGTATAAATTAAGTTGTGTTTCGTGCATTTTTTATTCGTTCATTAATTATGTTATTAAATACTATATTGAGTTTAACAGTTTATCTCAGTTATCAGGAAGGAGTAGATATGACTGTTTTGACTGTAATTCTAAAATACTTCTAAAATTATCAAAACGAAAGGGATTATGATTCTAATGGAAATTTAATAAGAATTAAAATATATGCCACCAATTATGTTAGAATTATACTTACAGGATTTTGTCCTAATAATCGTTCAAATGAACAAGGAAAAATTGATTCTAATTGTCCGGCTATTAATTTTAATGGACTTTCAAACAAACAGAGAACAAAATTAAATGTGAAATTTTCTAAAGGTGTAATAGTATTTACTGAAAATGATATTATGGATTCTGGTACAATATATACTGAATCATGCGCAACAAAATTACGAAGACATTTATATAAAATTAACCTTTGTGATATTGGATCATGTGATGATTTAATTAGGTGGATTGTTAAATATAATATTAATTCTTTTACAGTAGGAGGATCTCGAAGAAGCTTTTCGGAAAATATTGTTAGTTTAACAGAAAAATTTATGAACTGTTTTATTCCAAAGATACATAATTCACTTAAATATAATCATGAATTTATAAAACAAAAACCAATTTCTACCTTTTATGTACTTGGTCCACCTAGTTCTTTCTCACATAAATTAGCTCAAGAAATATGTGAAACATTGAATATTGGTATAGAGACTATAAAGTTTCAATCTAATTACAATAAAATCCTTGAATCATCTTGTAATTTAGACAACAATGAATGCATTTTGGTTCCTATTAAACATGATAATGATTTTCTTTATGACTACCCACATTCAATACCAAACTTATACTAATTCAGCCCAAATTCAAGCTCTAATTCGGTCCAAATTGATTCTTTGATTCTATGATTCAACCTAGCCATTAATTTTGGGTTGTTTTACGCAATTTACATTTTTAGGTTACATGAAATTATATTGTAACACGAAATTGTAATGTAAATTTATTTCATTATTAATAGTTAATGCCAGCTTAATTAAAATTTTGGCCAAAATTATTTACATGATAAAAATTACATGTAATTTTGATTTCAGAAATTATAACTACAAATTTATACTAACTTCAGTCCAAATTCATGCCTAAATTTACGATTTAAATCGGCCCAAATTTATATTATGATTCAACTTAGTATTAGATATACACTAATTTGTAACGATTTAATTTGGCCCGAATTTATATTATGACTTAGCCCAAATTCACGCTCTAATTCGGCCTAAATTAATTAATTCAGGCCCAAATTAATTTCAATGTGGCCAAATTAACTCTTAATTTGGCCCAACAAATTTATACTATGATTCAACTTAGATAAAAATTCTAATTCGTGCGCTGATTCGTAATTCAACCCAAATTTATCCCAAGTTTATACAAATGAACTGTTTAATATAATTCTAAATCTCCCAAATTATTTATATAATTCTTTCAAATTTATCAGTTATGCTCTGATAGGCTCAAATTAATTATCCAAATTTTATAATTTAACTCAGCCCAAATTTATGCTAATTCAGCCAAATTCACGCTCTAATTCGGCCCAAATTAACGCTCTATTTCAGCCAAAATAATTAATCAAAAATTTAATTTGGCCAAATTTATACTCTAATTCAGCCCAAATTCACTTTATACTATGATACAACTTGGATAAAAAAATTATGCGTCCACATTAAGGGTAGAGTGTATGTTGATCATTTATCATATAATCTCAGTGGTACAACAGGATTTTATGCATAAATTAAAATACGTCACTAGTAAAAGTTCTCAAAACCATGGTTAAAT